GGCTTCCCACAGAGCAGGGAGCCCGATGTGGGGCTCGATCCCAGGACCCTGGGATCATGACCTGAGCCGAAGGCAGTCGCTTAACCAACGGAGCCACCCAGGCGCCCAATGCTCAACGTGTTTTTAGGACACAGTCACAGCCAAGCATATCCCCTCCCCGTCCATCTTTATTACCAGAGAGTACTCAGGGGAAAAAAAACCTAACAAAAAAGTATCTCCAGTCCTGGCTGTCAAAGAATGAAATCGCGCCACCCCGCCCCAGCGGAGCAGGTAAGCAGTTCCCAGGCTGACCGGCCCAGGCTAGCAATCAGATCCCGTGCATACGAGGCCCCCCACTACCTGATCCAGTCCTCCTCCAGCTCGTCGCACGACTCGCCACCAGTTGTGTAGTCTGTCTCGTAGTGGTCCTGCTCCGGCCGCTTGGCCTTGCCCGCCCTGCCTCTCGTGGGGGCCTTTCTGGAAGGCGTCTCGAAGTTCCTGCCACTGCTGTAGTGAGGCTGCCTGAGGTCAGCCACAGCTGAGGTCACCGGCAGCTCCTGCACCACTTCGGGCACCCTGACAAAAGAGCAGTCAGCGTTCGGGGATCACGAGGCCAGGAGCGCCCTGTCAGCACAGAGGGCAGCAAGAGCTCGCACGAAGAGACCTCCACACCTACGTGCGTTCACGCAAGCAGTTCACCTACTCGACACGAGGCAGATCCCCAGGCTCCTGCGTGCAGGTGAACACCAGCTCAGACCCTCCGCAACACACCAAGTGGCTGTAAGGTTCCGATGTAAGGGGAGCCCGTTTGTAAGACCTTCTAAGTGAGATGGACCTAAGACCGCATTTTGGGAAGCCCAGGCTGATCTGGAAGAGGTGTTTACAGGACCTGTGCCAGGGACTTACTCCACAAAAGGCCATCAGGAAAATAACAACTCAGGATTCTTTTCTACAGGTTCTTCCAGTTTCATGGAATGCGGAGTGCTGAAGAGAAATGCATGTATCTGTCTACCATCGGAAGCTGACTCTCAGAGGTAAGCATTTTTAATACTAATTTTAGACTCCTATGCATCAATTTTCTTTTCAAGATACAATCTTGGAAAACTAAAATACTCAAAATTTAAACAACTGCTACGTGAATCCTATAGCCATGTAGACTGAACGGCATGGAAGGACTACCATTAGACTTATTTTCCTAATGCAATAATATTGCATCAGATCTTTAACTGCATATGTTTCTGCCACAAGCATGAAAATGAAGCCAAACATGGAATAAAATAGCAAGAGCTGTGGCAACTGTTAAGTACTTGTGAGTAACAGCGATGCAGAACTATACTCTCCCTAGTAGCAGAGCTAATGGGCAAGAAGAGCACTGAAAGGAAGACCAAGAACACGCCAGCGACTTTCTAACCTCAGCCTTGCTATTCAAATCAACTATTAAAAATGTCTGAAGTTTTTGTTTTCTCATTGCTTTCAATTTACAGAAACTATAATCTTGACCTATGTCTATGTCTTGACCTATGTCTATTTTCTAGGTGATCCAGAACTGCTTGCTTCTCATTGTTGTCCAAGTCTTCAGATTTCTATCACACTTACTAATGTCTTATAGAAGCCTAAAGCTTTGGGATGTGTGTGCATAGTTGGCAGTGGTAAGTGGGATTCATGCCCTCTTTCTGAATGTATTCAGGTTACCGTGGCTTTGTGTGCTGTTATTGCTACATCTAAAGGAGGGAAAATGTGACTTTCTCCATGAGTCAATGAGTAACAAGTTCCTAGACACTCTGCCAAAATAGCCAGGTATTCTGCTTCTCGCTTTGGGAATGCAGTAGGTGTATTTGAGGGCATAGGAGCTATTGAAGAAGGAAGCTAAACAGCAAAAGAAATTAGAAAAAAAACAAAACCTAAAACATTAAAAACAGGCCTCCTCCCATAATTATATTAGATACTGATATTATAAATCTTTACTTGGTCAGGCTCCCTGCTCAGCGGGGAACCTGCTTCTCCCTCTCCCTCTTCCCCCTGCTTGTGCTCTCTCTCCCTCTCTCTCATAAATAAATAAATAAAATCTTTAAAAAAAAAATAAATCTTTACTTTGGAAGTTTTCCACCTCCCACTCTACTACATACTTTGAAACACTAGAGGGTAACATACTCGATACAGCATAAAACCTAAACACAAAATGCTCACATGTGTATATAAATTTAAGACTTAGGGAATATGTGTACTGTCAATAATCTTTGAACCTACTTTTAGATACAAATTCCATTAAGTCATAATCTGCATGACCCTGAAGAGGCAACCAGCTGTATGCTTTCCCTGGTTCCAACTCAGTCTTCAGGTCCTGAAGTTCACCCTTGTGTATTCTTTCTTTTCTATTCATGTTTTCTTTACACACCCTCCCTCACATGCCTTTGGTGCTCCTACCTCCCCTCGACTCTCAGTGTAGCTACTGTGCCTGTCTTCTGCCCCTGGTAGATCGCCACCTCCATGAGAACAAGGACTTGGTATTCCCAGGGCACCTAGCCAACTACTGTGTACATGGCAGGTGTTCAAGAGAATTCCTGAATTGAAAACATTCACCCTCGTTTCTGATGACATCCAGTATCCATGAGGGAAAAGAAACAAGGCATGATCAACATCAGTGTCCTGATTATCAGAACAATTCTATTATGTACATGGTATTTTATTTTTTTATTTTTAATTTTTTTTCCAAAGAATTTATTTATTTATTTGAGAGACAGAGGAGACAGAGAGGGGGAGGGAGAAGCAGGCTCCCCACGAAGCAGAGAGTCCGATGCAGGACTCGATCCCTAGACCCTGAGATCATGACCTGAGCCAAAGTCAGATGCTTAACCAACTGAGCCACCCAGGTGCCCCTACATGGTATTTCAGAACTGTCACTATTATTGGGGGGCATATCTAAGCCTTGTCAATCAGAGAACCCTATCTCCCTAGCCTTAGGAATGACAATGATCCAAAAAGGGCCAATCAGGAATCTTTCAATATATTTTATATGTCAGCTTTGGGAAAGAACATTCCATTTTCCAAATCCTGTGCTGGAAGGTCAATGCAGCCTGGAAAATGTGGAGGACCATCCTGCTTTCATAGAAGCTGTACTGACAATAAAGCCCACATAGCAAGAGGAGTCCTAATATCTTTCTTCTGAGTTCCTGGCTCATGCCATTCCTGAAGTGAGACCATCCCTTGTCTAATGCGGACCAGTGAATTCCTACAACTCATATATAGTTCTTTTTTTTTTTTTAATGGTGGTTTATTAAAACACGGGGACAGGACCGGTGGGCAGAAAGAGCTGCTGCCAACTCGTATATAGTCCTAACAGATTATCCTACTAGCCTCTTTACTGCTACCATACAAAGGTTCATTGCCACTCTAGGGTGTCGACCTGCCTGGAAAGCTCTGTGACATGTCAACATTCATCTTTCTTGACTTATAAAGATGAATTCACCCTGGATTTGGACAAGATAGAACGGAATGTACCTAATAGGGGGTATCTCCTAAATTTAATTAGAAAAGGTGAAGAAGCAACCATTTTCAATTAAATTCTGCTATCTCCTAACCCAGTATGAATTCTAATTGCCTTGAAATTCTAAGATATACGACATTATGATGAGGGGCGCCTGGGTGGCTCAGATGGTTAAGCGTCTGCCTTCGGCTCAGGTCATGATTCCAGGGTCCTGGGATCGAGTCCCGCATCGGGCTCCCTGCTCCTCCCTCTGCCTCTCTCTCTCTCTCTCTATCTCTCATGAATAAATAAATAAAATCTTTAAAAAAAAAAAAAGACATTATGATGAGCACAAAGTGACAGATGCAACTGTAATTACCATATAACTCCACTTTATAAGACAACTTCAATAATAAACTCAACTAATAAGTAGTTATAGGCATCAAAATTGTGGAGCGGGGGATGGGGATATCAATGAAGAAAGGGCACGCGAGGACCTTTTGGAGTGCTTGATGTGTCTCTCGGCTGCTGTGGTGGTGGTTACCTCAGTGTTCACGCGTGTGAAAAATCATCAAACTGTATGCTCAAGATTAGTACTCTATTGAATGTGTGTTATGCTTTGGGGAAAAAATATCTTAAGTGTTGAGGTACCTCATCCTTACGATGGATCTCAGACACAATGTTCCCGTTCTAATTCCTTGTCTGTTGACTATGATAGCAAGGAGAGGCGCTTGTGGGCTACTAAGCACCTTCATGAAAGCCTGAGGAGAGACAGCCTATGACTTAATGTGCATCTCTACCCCACCCAAGTGAATGTGCTCTGAATCTTCCAGAGCACACAGTACCCTGCCATGGGCAACACCTGGAAATTTCTATTATTCCCCAGAGGCTGCAAGTTCCTTCCAGCATTAGTGCATACAAATCAGGAGATAATGCCCCATCACATCCCTTAGCACCATCCCCCTCCTCCCCTTCTTCTGGATTTTGAAACTAAGCATCACATTTGCATTTCCCAGACCTTCAAAAAAGTTCTAGGGCTTAGGCTGGGAATATAAATTGGTACACCCCCTAGGGACTACAATTTGAGTATACGTATCAAAATGAAATAGGAAATTTCTTTCAGCTCAGCACTCCTGCTTTTAGTATTTTTCCTCTAGCTACATTCACATACATGAAAAGGGATACATGTACAAGTTTATAGCTGCAGAGATCTATAATAACAAAACACTGGGGAAAAGTGTGCATCAATATGGGATTAACAAATTATAGTATATCCATCTGGTGGAGTATTATGCAGCTATAAAAGATATCAGTAAACTCATTGTATACCGATACGCACAATCTCCACGACATATGCTAATAATGCATTTAATATGCTAGTATTTTTAAAAAGATTTATTTTTATTTATTTGAGAGAGAGAGAGGAGAGCGAAGGAGCACAAGTGGGGGGCAGAGGGAGAGGGAGAAGCAGGCTCCCCGCTGAGCACGGAGCCCAACACAGGACTTGATCCTAGTACCCCAGGATCATGACCTGAGCCAAAGTTAGACACTTAACTGACTGAGCCACCCAGGTACCCCTTAATATGCTATTCTTTTTTAAAGATTTTATTTATTTATTTGGTAGTGAGAGAATGAGACAGAGAGAGAGCACATGAGAGGGGGTAGGGTCAGAGGGAGAAGCAGACTCCCTGCTGAGCAGGGAGCCCAGACTCCACCCAGGGACTCCAGGATCATGACCTGAGCCGAAGGCAGCCGCTTAACCCACTGAGCCACCCAGGTGTCCTGCTATTTTTTTTTAAAGGAAGATATAACTAATGTACATTTTGGCCAGCATATTTATTTAAAAATAATTTCTGGAAGGTTATATAAGACAAATTGGTGGGGTGCCTGGGTGGCTCAGTTGGTTAAGTGTCTGACTCTTGATCTCAGCTCAGGTTTTGATCTCAGGGTTGTGAATTCAAGCCCCACACCTGGCTCCATGCTGGGCGTGAAGCCTACTTTAAAAAAAAAAAGAAAGTGGTAACCCTAACTGCCTCTAGGAATAGGAACTAGGTAGCTGGGGACAAAAGCTATCACTCTGTCCCTTTTAAATTTTACATTACAAATGTACTGGCTTACTCAAGAATAACTAAGATTTTTAAATTGTTCCAAATGATTTTGTGAAAATATCTTGGTTTTCATGAAAAGAGACAGCATGTGGAATGCTATGTGACCATTCAGGCTTTATAATTAATTCAGAGGCACAGCTGGTCACAAGATGCATTATAAATATTTACTATGTATGCACGGAAGTCATGCAAATCATAGCTTTAAGACTGTGTCTCTACTTTGTACACCTCTGCCCCTAACAGCCTCAAGTGCTTTGGATTTTTGTCAAAATCCAAACAGAAGGAGAACAGAGAAAACACTCTTCCTCCAAATCATTCACAACTGAAACCAACAACAAAGTCAATTCTGAAGACCAAAACAAAATATATATTGAGGGTAAGGCAAACTGCCATCTGTTTCCAAATTCCATCCCAGGGTAATAATAAAACCTATTGTCTCAAACTGATTCCATGATTAGCTTAGCTGCTGGTGTCATCTTAAGGGGTTCCAGGTGCCCAAACTACTCAGGGGGGATTTCTATCTAAATTGGACCACTAAGGGATGCCTGGGTGGCTCAGATGGTTAAGTATCTGCCTTCGGCCCAGGTCATGATCCCAGGGTCCTAGGATGGAGCCCCACATCGGGCTCTGTGCTCAGCAGGGAGCCTGCTTCTCCCTCTCCCTCTGCCTGCCTGTCTGCCTACTTGTGATCTGTCAAATAAATAAAATCTTTAAAAAATAAATAAATAAATTGGACCACTAAATGGGAGGGGTGGGGGGTGAAGGAGGGAGGTGGAAATAAAACTTTGAAGCAACACAAAGTTTTCCAGCAGATACACCTTTAACTTAAAACAATCAAAGTAGTTAAAGGGACTGTTTATTTTTTATTATTTAGTCCACAAAGGAATTTGGAGTTCTAGAATTATACATAACAAGAGAGGGTGGCTGCCTGGCTCAGTCGCTGGAACATGTGACTCTTGATCTCAAAGGTTTTGAGTTTCAGCCCCACGGTGTGTGTAGAGATTATTTAAAAACAGAATCTTAAAAAAAAAAAAAAAAAAGAAGAAGAAGGGGCACCTGAGTGGCTCAGTTGTTAAGCATCTGCCTTTGGCTCAGGTCATGATCTCAGGGTCCTGGGATCGAGCCCCACATCAGGCTCCCTGCTCGGCGGGAAACCGGCTTCTCCCTCTCCCAGTCCCCCTGCTTGTGTTCCTGCTCTCGCTATCTGTCAAATAAATAAATAAAATCTTTAAAAAATAAAAATTTAAAAAAAAGTAATTTATCATCCTTAGGCAAAAATTATATCCAGTCCATAACAGTATTTCTAATACCCTTCCCTCACTAGTCATTAGGTTGAATTAGAAATAGCCTTTAGGGTAAATTAAAACCACAATGGGGATACCATTTCAATAACCATAATGGCACCTACTCTAGGCCAGAAGCTCACTGTGAGGTTATTTACACTACTTGTAAATATACACATACAGGCTTTATCAGTTTCACAGCAGAATTCCTGATTTCAAACAAAGTCTTCTCGGTAAATAAAAATGTATGTGGCTAGGGAGTGGATCAACCAGCAATCATCCCCTTCCATTAATGAGATCTTGCAGTTACAGGCAAGGAGAGACAGCTCTGCTTTGTATCAGTAACATCCTTCACTCTTACCTCAACTTCAAAACCAGCAACAGGGAAGAGAACCACTTTTTTAGAGCCAAAAATATCAATTTACCCTCTCTCCATTAAACCAGCAAGAGAAAAAAAGCACTTTCAGCTTAGAAGGGGGAAAAGATCCTACCAGCTCACAGTCCCACCCTTCTCCTCTTCCAAGCCTCCATCAACAATGCAAAAGATCAGTCTCTAGCTTTGGGAAACGGTTAAATTTATTTATTTTAAAGCAAATGGTACAACAGGAACTGATTTTCAACATATGCAAATGTTCATTTTTAAGACTCATTCTATCTGAAGGAGGAAGATGCTACTTACGGTGTTGACTTATAGGAAGACTCTGGATACGACCGCTTGTCATTCACTTTACCATTGGAAGAGTAGGCCATGGGACTGTCCACTCTCTCCACATAGTCAGAAGGGGGGGGAGGCATGTCTTGTGTGCCTGCAGACACATTTTTAACCTAAAGAAAAAGCCCCAAGGAGACACAGTGATTACTGAGCCTGTAATTTAAAGGGGAAAGAAATGGAAGAAAAATATCACATATAAAATTACCTAATACTTACTGGGCTCATTAAATATTTTTAACCTGCCTTGCTATTTATTGTTAGTGTTAACAATCAAATCAGTATTCCTACCAACACACAAATGATACCGTTGTTAATTTAACAAGTCCAGAATTACAAAGAAGGGGAAAAAAAATCCCAATTACCGGACTCTCATCCTGATGTGACCAGGCAGAATGATTATCCATTGCTCTATCCCATATACAAGGACTAATCTCATTTTATCCAGGCTGGTTCTGGGTTTGGGCAAGAATTTTCATTTCTCTCTTTTTTTTTTAAGATTTTATTTATTTGACAGAGAAAGAGACAGCAAGAGAGAGAACAAGCAGGGGAAGCGGCAGGCAGAGGGAGAAGGAGAAGCAGGCTTCCCATGGAGCAGGGAGCCCGATGCGGGGCTCAATCCCAGGACCCTGGGATCATGACCTAAGCCAAAGGCAGACGCTTAACGACTGAGCCACCCAGGCGCCCCCCCCCTTTTTTTAAGATTTTATTTATTTGATAGCACAAGAGAGCACAAAGAGAGGGAGTGGCAGAGAAACAGGGAGAGGGAGAAATAGGGTCCCCACTGAGCAGGGAGGTTGACATGGGGCTCAATCCCAGGATCCTGGAATCACGACCTGAGTCGATGCTTAACCAACTGAGCCACCCAGGTGCCCCAAGAATTTTCATTTCTAACAAGTTCTAAGGTAATACTTATGCTGCTGTCTGGGCACCACACTTGGAAAACAACTAATCAAGGACAAAAGACACTGGTTCCTCTTAACCCATCCACACTAAATATGGAATGTTAAAACCACAGAAGAAATTAAGAAGCTCAAACTAACTTCTGCTATAGTTCTTTAATAAGAGATTTGTTCATTCTCCCTTAACATACATTCTCAATGGCTCTGTTCTTAACACATGAACTCAGTATCAGAAAAAAACAAATAATCTCATTTAAAATGGGCAGAGGACCTGATAGACATTTTCCCAAAGAAGACAAACAGATGGCCAACAGACACATGAAACCATAAAAAACTGATGAAAGAAACTGAAGATGACACACAAATGGAAGGATGTTTCATGCTCATGGCCTGGAAGAACCAGTATTGTTAATGTCCATACTACCCAAAGCAATCTACAGAAGTAATGCAATCCCTATCAAAATACCAACAGAACTGTTCACAGAACTAGAATAATACTGAAATTTGTATGAAGGCACAGACTCCAAATAGCCAAAACAATCTTGAGAAAGAACAAAACTGGAGGTATCACAACCCCAGATTGCAAGATACACTAAAAAGCTCAAGTATTCAAAACAGTATGGCACTGGCACAAAAATTAGGCACATAGATCAATGGAACCGAACAGAGCGCGCAGAAATAAACCCACACTTAACATGGTCAATCTACAACAAAGGAGGCAAGAATATACAACCGGGAAAAGACAATCTCTTCAACAAATGGGGCTGGAAAAACTGGACAGCAGGGCGCCTGGGTGGCTCAGTTGGTTAAGCGACTGCCTTCGGCTCAGGTCATGATC